CAAAATAATAAAATAACAAATAATGAAGAATGTATCACAAAACCTAAAAATCAAACTTTCGACCGCCCATTCAAGAAGGTACTAAATAAAATTAAGAATTGAAAAGCCTTATGAACTCTGCATCTCATACATGTTTTTCTACTTTAAATATCTACTTCAATGTTCCCCCTTTCTGAACACCAGTTTTCTCTGGTCCACATGGTGAAATACAGCCAGCCCTTGGCTCCTGAGGTTACTTGAAGTCTCTGCTACATTTAGAAAGTACCTTACAGGCTCTGTCTGATTCTTAGTTCCAGCCCCAGTTAAGTGTCCACTTCCACTTTAGCCAACAATGTCCAGGGTAGAAAGAACATGCCCCATAACACGGTTGCCAAGATTGGTGTAGGGGTGGTGGGCAGAGGGCTAATGACCTGGAAATGCATCTCAAGCTCAATATCATAATTTGAATCCTAGTGTCTAGGTTTGGTCAAACAAAAATCACAAAGAGCAATGTGAACGGACAGGCGACATGGATGTATTCAGCCTCACTTCATGTACCCTGTTTTTATCGGGGCTTCCGAAGTTTCTTCCACTTTGATCAAACCATTGCTGGCTTCCTGGCTTCCTGGTGGCCTGGAAACCCACATGAACAAGATTACTAGTTTTACCCTCTGCATGTCCCATTTTTCCAACATCAAATGTGCCAGTTATAAAATTGTGAGTTTTCTCATGAAACCACACTGTGGAGAGGAGCATAGGATTATTATCTCTTCTCAAACAGCCGCTTTTTCTTCTTGCAGACCCCTGTAGGTATAAGCTGAAGCTTCCTTCTTATAAGAAATGCTTGTCATAAGAAAGAGATGAGTGTGAAAATGGCTTTTTATAGACCCTCTGTCTACTTCTGCTATGGGGATTATTTAAACATGAAGGAATTTCATGATGATTTGAAATTGACTACCCCCTCCATCTCCAAGTGCTTCTGGATCACCTCCCCAGCTGTTTAAAAAGTTGTTGAGCCATTAACTGCTGCTGAGGCTGCTCTGAGCTCCCTTTGAAATGGGGGTCCCCCAGCTGCAGTACATAATATTAATGAGCAATAAGTGACTGCCTGCTGTCTTCCCCACCAGGCCCTTCTGGGCTCTGACAAGTGCTGCCACTGCCTTCGCATGGCCTCCTGGCCCTTCATGCTGCCGTGGTGGATGTCACTTTCAGCACTTCTGTACCTGCAGCTGATTGGACGTCTCTCAACCAGCCTCTTCTGGTACTGCAGAGGTTGAGAAAGTTTTGCTGTTTCAGCGCACCTTGCTGAAATTGTCCAGGTGCTCTTTGACCATTCGACCCTTTCTACAGATGAACAAAAGGGACTGGATCCAAAGCCCATAAAAAATGGCAGAACCAGGCTCTTCCGAGACAGCAGCTCCCCCTGCCCCAAGGAAACTCAGTATTTAAATTCCACATGGAAACCTCAGATATGTGCTTGGAAATTATCTCATCATTGTTTCGAGACACCAACTTTTAGCATAAAGAGGCAAGAGTCCAATATTCACTTTCCAAAGTGAAACACACTGTTACCTATTTCCAGTCAAAAGAGCAATCGCTGAAGAATCTCAGTCATCCTCTTTTGCATTTAATTTCTCACACCTTCCCTTCACTAAAGGAGAAGAAAAATGCTTGAAGAACTATAGTACATAGGATTCTTCTTTATAAATCACAGTTAATAGAATGAGCAACTTGTTTTATTGCTATAAGAAAATGGAAAATCAATATGATTTTGCTTTTTCATTTCTATAGAAGTAAGTAGCTGATTTCCCCATGCACTAACACACAATATACAAAGACTCGATTTTTAGAGGTTGGTTAGGGCTAAGTTGGTTTCCTGCCCCTCTGAGTTATTTGACTGAATTAGATGGCCTTGGCGATTTCTCTCCTTGAAAGAAGGATTCTGTAGGAATGGAAGCATGGCAGTTGCTTGTGTGTGACACCACTATGTGCCAGGCACCACTGGAAAACTTATGTGTTGGTTCATTAAATCCTTCAATATCCCTCTGAGGGAGGTAATGTTACAATCAGAATTTGACCAATAAGATAATTGGGAGGTTAAGTGACTCACTCAAAGTCAAATAACTGTAAATGGCAGAACTAGTATCCGAATCCAGTCTGACTTGAAAGCCCATGTTCTTTATCCTAGACTACTTCTCTTTGTGTGTCACAGGGAAAACTCTAGAAGTTCATTACTTATCCCTGGCCATATAATAGAACTAGGAGAATGCAACCTTCCCTCTCTCCTTTTTTGGTGCTGAGGATTGGCCTTACACATGCTAGACAAGTGTTCTACCACGGAGCTACATCACCAACCCTCAACTTTCTCTTTCTAGATTATAATAATGTCCTCATCTGCCTTCTGAAAAAGAGATTGACACTCAACTACCAGGCTTGTTTAAAATACAATACAGAGTTTACTTTCCAGTTTTGAAAGACAGTTTGTAGATTTATAAGACATGAACAACTAAAGCAGTGTTGCTCAAAGTCTGTTCCATAGACATGAGTTTTGTGGAGAATATTTGTGTCAAACATGAATCTGAGTGCTACCCAGACTTACTGAAAACGAATCCCTGAGGAGTCGATCCCAGCAATCTGCCTTTTTAGGAAGCACCCCGGTGATTCTTAGGCACACTAAAGATTGACAGTCATTACAGAGTTGCATCTGGAAGTTTCAGGAGCTCTGCACATCAATTCAATAGTAGATGACTATAGAAAGCTTTCAAAGCCTCTCTGCATTCAATAGCTATTTCAGGGAGAATTGTAATGTGCAGGAAGTGTTCCTAAATTGTTGTAGTTTCCTTCTGGGTGAGCCAGCTGGTTAAGAAAGCTTGAATAATTTCCCAAGGGACTCAGTTAAGTGGACACCCTCACACTCTAGAAAATAAAGTTTTCCACCACGGTCTCAATGTGAGATTGCAGAATGGGCTTCTGATTATCTTTATTTTTACTTAAAACTCTTTCAAAGACCACAACATAGACCATGAGGGCTTCCATAATGTGGCCATGTGCATCTCTCCATCTTTATCCTCAAACATACTCACCTACTGCTGCAACAACCCTGAGCTGCCCTCACTTCTTCCAAGGCACTACGTGCCACAGCATCTTTGCCTGTGATTTGGGGGTATATTATGTATCTCCTCCCCATCACCTACTTAGCTCTCACTGTTCCTTCAGAGCTCAGATCCACAGTCACCCTCTCAGGGCAGCATTCCCTGGGCCTGCCACAAGAAGGGAGGACATCCTATTATCCACTGCCATGCCACCATTCTTCTACAGCGCTCCACAGTTTTTCCATCTGCGTTTGGCAGTGTGGTAACTTTATTCCCATCTGTCTTCACAAGTAGACTACAAACAAGAACCATAACTATTTTGTGCATTCTGGTGTGTAACTGAAGACCTGTCACATAGTAAACATGCAATTAATCGCTGTGGAGTATCATGAATGAAAAAATGTAATTCATAATGTTGGAAAGAAAGTCTGCATTCTCAATCAAAAGTTTCACATCCATTCCATAGACAAAGATTCCACAGTTTTCATTTCTATCCCTTTTTAAATAGCAGTGGAGATGGCTAAGTTGGGAAGTCTGAACCCCCAAACATCTTTATGGATTCTCAATCCTTTTAGTGTATCAATAGCTTTAATCCCAACGCCATTTTAAAATTGCTCATAGTATGCTTAGTCAGTCATTAGTTGTTAAAAGGAACATTAATGAAAGAGTGCAATTTTCTAATGTTGAAAAACCATAAAGTAACTATTTCCTCTTTTACTTCAAAGGCTGAAATGGAGTTTTGTCATTTAATGGGACAGGAAGTGCAATAAGCTTAATTGGTGATAAGACTGGTTTTATTTAATTGTATTTTATCATCATCATTTTCAAGGGTATCTTTAGTCAGCTATATAAACCATCACACTTATAGAGTGTTCTGTATAGAAGAACATAGCGCATTCCTCACAGTAAGTAAAATGTCCATGAGGACATTTGTTTAAGCTAACTTGACACTAAAGGATAGATTTGATGTGCTCCTAACACGCAGGTATGTTAAAAGCTAGAATTGCTCATCTGCCTAGACCTGCCCAGCACTTAACAAACTATAAACCTTCTAAATGGTTATAAAACATTGTCTTAGGGGTATTTTAACTCAAAAAGTTACATCCTACACGAGACCTATATATCAAAATCTAGAAATTTCAAGTGAGTATTCTCCCATTCATTTTTAAATACCTCCCTAAAGTTGCTAAATGCCAGTGACCTCCCACAATCTTTCTTAATTAGGCATAGGTTTCATTTTATTCCTTATAATAGAAAGGGATTAGAGAGGCACAGGTAAGTTTAGAGAGTTGGAGAGTCAGCAATACAGATAATTATGGATTTTACCTCACACAGTTTGTCAAACTTACCTAAAGTTATCACCTTCTACGGCAAAACATCTAATATTCATGTCGTACAAGTATATAGGAGTTGATGAATGATAACAGTATTAGCTAACAATTATGTTCTGCACCTATAACATTCTTAACTCTTTTTTAAGATTAACTTGTTCAGTCCACCCAAGAACCTAAAAAAGCAGATGCCATTAGTAAGCCCATTTTACAACAGTGAAAACTGAGACAGAATTATGTCACAGCCACACCATCATTAAACTATTTTGGAAGCAGGATTTCCATTCAGGCATCCTGTCTGCACAGCACCCATTCCTAACTACTAAAGCAGACGATTTCCCATACATTCTTTATTTTCAAACAGTGAATCAGGAAGCTTGGCCCTGCTTTCTTTTCTTCTCTTAATTTTTCCTTAGGAGATGCGAAGAGAGGTGTAGTTTTGTTTTATTCTAAAGAGAAGCGGAAAGTGAGCGTTCGTTCTTTCTGAACATCTTTTTCCAAAGCCATTTACCTTTTTCTGGGGCTAGGAAAAGACTGAGAAGACAGAGCACTAATGAGCTTCTCTCTTTGTCTCCCTCCCTGTTTCTCCATTCTGCAGTTAATAGCCAAGATACCAACCATCACGGCAGTTTGCAACTTGCACGGGGAGAAGCTGCAGGTATTTAAGCAATCTCATCCTGACATAGTGAATACACTGTTTCCTCCATTATACAAGGAGCTCTTTAACCCTGACTGTGCCACCGTCTGCAAATGAAGGGGACGAGAGAACTGGCTCACAGTCGTGGAGTACACCACCATTAAGACGAAAGCAATGTGTTCATGAAGACTTAAGAAAAATGTCACTACTGCAACATTAGGAATGTCCTGCACTTCATAGAGTTATTTTTCACCGCTACAGTTTGAAGAATGTAAATATGCACCTGAGTGGGGCTCTTTTGTTTGTTTGTTTTGAAATGACCATAAATATACAAATATAGGACACCGGGTGTTATCTTTTTTTTTTTTAATTTTATTCGGGTATGTTTTGGAGACAACTGTTTATAGAATTTTATTGTAGATATATACGAGAACAGAGCGGTACTTTACATGATTACTTTTCCTGTTGATTGTTCAAATATAATTTAAGAAAATTCCACTTAATAGGCTTATCTATTTCTATGTTTTTAGATAGTTGATGCATGTGTAAATTTGTAGCTGTCTTGGAAAGTACTGTGCATGTATGTAATAACTATATAATATGTGGAATATTATATATGACTATTACTTATACATGCACACGCACTGTGGCTTAAAATACCATACCTACTAGCAAGGGAGGTTCAGTCAGACTCTCTTATATTATTTACCTTCTGTGTTATGTGTTACTTTTATGTTAGACAATCAGGGTTTTGTTTTTTCAGCCAGAGTTTTCATCTATAGTCAACAGCAGATCGGTACCAGCTCAGAAATAAGTCTACAAAGAAATCCATGTAATGCACAGCCTCTGTATAAAAACTCTTATTTCTGTCAGTGACATCAAAGCCTTGTCAAGATGGTCCATACTGAGTTGGGGGAAAGACTTTGGAGCCATTTTCCTGTTTTGAGAATTGGGCTGCAGATAATATTGAAAGGCATGGGATGCTTTTTGACCAAACAATTAGACATTTCCTATTTTATACCAGAACATATAAAACACTGTTTTTCTTAGGATTTGGATTTCTGGTTGTGACAAAAACTTGATTTTGGTGCTCAGTGTCTTCAACCAAAAAATTACGGTCTGTGCATTATTACCACCAGCCATTTGCTCTAGAAAAATAACAGTAAAAAAAAGTAAACCAGTTCCCAGTGTCCAACGCCATTTGGGGTAAATATTTTCTCTCAAATCATTTTTTGACAAAGAGGCAGAAGTAGAACATACAAGGTTAAAAAATATTTCTTGATATTCATCCTTAAGTATTTGTTAGAAAAGACAACAATAAAATGGGGGAGGTAGAGCTTTCTATGTCATTCTAGCCTGGGGCTTCTAATTTTCTTCAATTTCAAAACAATATATTATTAAAATATAGCAAAAACTTGACAGATTAAAAAATATATATTTATTCTATGGGAGGAATATACCCAATGCCACAACTACTTTCTCTGCAGTTTGAAATTGCATTATCCATCCATCCTAGATTATATTTTTAGGAACTCTTAAACTTACAGAATGCAAGAGTGACATCAAAATCAGAGAATTTAGACATTCTTGTATAAGTTCTCATCTCTCCATCTATTCTCAGGTAAAATTATGCATAAATTCCAAGACATTTGTTTTGTCCATGTCCCTGAGGCCTATGTCTTGGTATTATCTGAGCCACAGTAAGATTGTTAAAAATGGAAACTATGAGAGAAATTTATATTAAGACAGTGAAAATCACAGTCTCCTTAAGTGTAGGCCAGCCTGTGCATAAAGACCTGCCCTTTTTCCCTTGTCAAACACACGGCGCTCCCCTCTCCTCATACACACACACACACACAGACCTGCTTTGTAAATTTCAAATCATGGGGACCTTGACTGTTTTTCATTTCCTATGATCTCCTAAAGTTCATGGTCGAGTGCCATCTCCATGATGCCTCAGAACTCCTGATTGATGATCAAGTGTTAGTCTTTTCCTTTTAGAAAACAAAGGCTTTTCTCACCTCATGATTGATGAATTCCAAACCAATGGGGAAAAACAAAAAGGCTTTAAAATAATGAATCTCTTTCTCGACTAGTTATATTCAATTAATTTAACTACATTGAACCAAATTACCTTTGGTTCTAAGAAGACAGCTGTAGACTGCTTATTATGCTGCTACAGGGACTCAATTCTTTTTGGTATAAATGTCACTCCTGCTAGCTCTTTGTATAAAGAATTAATTCCAAGAGTCATATTTCCTTCTAATGGAAAGATTACTTTACTGATTGCTAGGAAAACAGGGTAATGGAAGGCACTCAATTAAACCAAGCCGTTTCCAAATGCAATGTATGTTTTATGATTGGCTTGTGATAGGCGATGCTTAATGTGTCTACTTGGTGTTTCCCTTTGAGCTTTGAACTTATGTCAAACTTTGTTTTCATTGTTCTGTTGGCCTAGTGCTTCCCATTGTCAGCCTGTAATTCCTACTCTGTTGCAAAGGGAATCATTCATTGCCTCCAGTTTACCTTAGAGGATTTAAATTGGCTCAATTGATGAGGTAGCTGAGAATTTTTTCCTCCCTTGTCCCATGGGTGGTGTAGGAAAAAGATTGTTCCCCGCATCTGTCTCGGGAGATACTGGTTTTGATTTTGTGTCATTTCCACTAGTGCAAGCATTTCATTGGGACTGCACGAACTTTTTGAAGCCAGGGACACAGGAAAAAGAGCTAGCAACTGAACCAGAACAATGCAATGGAAACCAACCAGTACAAGCTCAGCCCACTTCAGTTGAGAAAAGAGATTTTCAGTTTTGGCTACAGTTGCCAAATTTCCCCTGACAGGAGAATCAAGTCATGTTTTTCACAGTAACAAAGCCTTAAAAAGCTGCCCTTTTGAACATCTCTTGTGACTACAGGTCAAGGTATTTTGAAAATTTGGTTAAGAACAACTTTCTTTACAACATACAATCCCAGCACTTTGTCCTTTCCCCCTGGGAACTAACAAACACACTCCTGATAAGGTGTACAGTGGAAGAAGAATCCATAGTCTGCACTCCTCACTCCGTGCTTTGTAAATGACAATCACTGCAGATGTTGCACTGTCTCTGCTCAGGGATGTTTCATTTTAAAAAATAAAATAATAAAAAAAATATACATCAAGAAGGAGGGAAAAAAAAACAGGAAAATGACAACAAAATTTCAATGGCACAAATTAAATATGCCAGTGAGAGAACCTCTCTGACAAGGCTTTCAGACCCATGTGTAATCACTTCATGTCATAAACTGAACTGGCCTTTATTATTTGGATTTGCCTAAAAATTGCAGACGAATAAGGAAAACTTACATTTATTTTCTAAAAGCTTCTAAGAGTCAAATAATCAGGTGCTCCATTTTTAGGAGTAGATATGCCCCCCCCAGAAAATCCAAGCTTCCTATGCAAATCCTGAGCAAGAAAAAGAAGGGAATCTAACTGGCATTGGATGACATTGACAAGGGAAGTAAAGCTGTTTAGATTTGAGTGCCAGTGTATCTGTGTCCAAAGAAGAAAGAGCAAATTTTGAAAGGAAAATAAGAGAAGCCTGTCACAGTGGTGCATGCCTATAATCCCAGTGGCTCGGGAGGCTGAGGCAGGAGGATTACAAGTGAGGCCCTAAGCAACTTAGTGAGACACTGTTTCAAAATAAAAAATAAAAAGGGCTGAGGATGTGACTCAGTGGTTAAGCCACCCTGGGTTCAATTCCCAGTACCAAAAAAAAAGAAGAAGAAGAAGAAGAAAAGAAGAGGTTCCGAATCTGTTTTCACATCCCTCATGACAACTTTCGTCATTGAAATAGCCCCTTTCCTGCGGCTCTTTTATTGTCAAAGACTAAAATCTGAGGGAAGAGATGTACTGTAAAAATGCTCTTCTGGATTTCCCTTGTCTTAACACTGTCTTCAGGGTTCTGGATAAAAGGACCTCTGAGTAGGTACAAAGAGGAATATCATGGTCTCTGGGGTAAGTAGATGTCTTTGGCAAAATCTAAGAGACCCTAAATTGTAATGAACTCTGTATGTCAACAAGACATGTGAGAGAGACTTCAGTGTTATTTCCTTTGTGGCTGCCTGGTTCAACCCCTAACTTCCAACAGTCCAACTAAACTGTAGAGAACCAGGCAGATGGAGAGCCAGTGCACATTCACTCTACCCTGTTACGTGTACCTGGCCTGAGTGCAAATACAATTTTTACGTTCCAAGGTCAACAGAAAACTTACAATTCCCTCCCCCACCCAAAAAAAAATCAGTCAGAGGCAAATAATGTCAATGTCATTCCATGTTCTTTGTTTCTGTTTATTAAAGAAACAAGGAAAAATTCTACTGCTATTGGAAAGTAGAGAAAATAATTTCTTCCCGATTTTTTTTTTAAACAATTGTTTCCAATGAAGTTACTACAATAGGTAGTTGACTCAGGCAGGGACATCTATAATTGAACAGAAGCACCCGTCAATAGAACAGCAATAACTATGGAGCACGCATCTGGAGTGAAACTTTGCAAAAAGTCCCTTTATAAAGAAGAGGGAAAGGCTGTCCATCTGTTTTAGATGAAGTGCTATTTGATGTGATGTTGGCGTCTGCTAATACAAACAGCAAATAGAAGTGAAGGCCTGATAAGGAAAACCAGGGAGAGCTTTCAGAAAAGACCTGAAATCTCTTGGTGGGTAAGGGGGTGCAAGTCTCAGGCCCATGTCCATTTAAAGCAGAGGTTATAAATTCAAAAGCCTAAAAGGACCAGGGAGTGGATGCAAATGAGAGAAGCAGTCCAGCAGCAAGCTGGCAAGGAAATAACCCACCTAACAGAGGACATCCACTGTGAGGCTGGAGCTCAGCATTGCTAGAGCTTCCAAGTCCTGTAAAATGTCTTGAGCTGTAAATAAGGGCAGTTGATGCAGAGTGTAGACCAAACAAACACACCTGGGAACAGAAGAGTCCCCTGAGACTGCCCGCTGCAACCTCTGGTTTAAATCAAAATCACAGTCTAGCAGCCTATTCAGCTGTAGAAAATGTGGCCAGATTCATCCAAGGATGACATGAGAATAATACTAGTGTGGAAGGGAAGAAGGAGAGATCTTGCCTTTCTGGCTTTCAGTTAAGTTTCCACATGGAACGATCACTACTCAAGGATATAGTTAGAGGTTGATTGAACAGAATGTTGGTATAAAAATGAAGACAATTCAACTTATCGATGGCTAATAAAAGATACTTCTATTTGTCTTGCCCAAATTTCCATCTTGGATAGCCAGGGGGTTAGCTTTCTTGCCACTTTTTTTTTTAAAGTCAAATGCATGACTTTGTGTTTTCAAGTCTCAACCTGCATGGTTCACTGGGTGGCTTCAATATTGCAACAAGTTCTTACTTTCCCTCAGTTGGACGCATCTGAAGAATTTATTCTGTAATCATTGATAGTGGGGTCCCCTCACATTCTGAAGTGCAGACCTCAGGCTCCTATGCACCAGATGGGGGTTGTCTGTGCACTTTTTTCCTATGATATTGAATTTGTTCTGAATTGAATGGGCCATGGTCATCTTTGCCTCTTGCATGACCATTAAGCATGACCTCCAGTGGATCAGAGAAAGCAGCTCAGTGATTATTCTCGCCGCCAAAACGAAAGCACAAGGGTTACTGGAATTGAATAAGCCCAGTTCAGGAACACAGGGTGTCTGCTCCCCAGCTGAGCAGCACTTTATCTCTTATTCGACTACTCTCTTCTGGCTGTGGCTGATGGTAAGCACTGTCGTGCCTCTGTCACTACCATATGTAGACACACGAGAGGTATGTCTGAAGAGCTACAAATCCCACATCCAGACACGGTACCGTCTGCTTCATCTGATTAACACACACACAAGAATGAAAACTACACCCACAGAAAACTGAGTATGTATTGTAGAAATGTAGAGGAAAAATAAAATATTTTTTCAAATGTAATTACTTTTAATATATGCTTGTGGAAGGTCTAATACAATGTATGCTGTCTCTAATTTTTGCTGTAAATAACTGGAGGCAGTGAATACACTGATTTTTCTATGTCTCTGTTTAAGCATAAGACTTTGTAACAATTTTTTTAGAGGGGGAAAACAACAAAGAGCAAATATGTACTTGCTTCCTTTCTGAGTGTCATGTACTTCTCAGTTTTTTAATGGAAACTGATTGTAACAGTTTAAGCATCCTGACGGGTCATCCGTGTTAAGTGTACGCTTCTTTTTGTAATACAATGGAGAAAGGGACAGGGCTGTCAATTAAATCTGCTCCAAAGAATTTGAATTGAAGATTGGCCTAAGAACTGCAGACTCCATCTGAACTAGATGATATGAAAAAGAAAAGTTTAAAAAAAAAATCATTGTCTGAATTAAGTCATCTTTCCTTGTAGCAAATGGCTTTGTCCAAAACCTTTCTGCATGGAATAGCTTAAGGAAAACAAACTCTGCTTTCTGATGAACAAAATATTTTTGTACGCGTTTATTTCTTATTAATAATCTGAGGTCAGACCACTCATTCGCTGAAGCCATAACTGACCTTCACCAAATAAATGCTGTAAAGAACCTGGGGGAGGGTGGGGAGAGACTGAGAGGGAGGAAAATCCAAGATGTCATGAGTATAGAATCACAGGCAGGAGCAAGTCCGATGAAATTGATGCTTTTCCTGCATCCCAAATATGACTTTAAAAGGCTAGTATTTTATGAGGATCGATTTATAATAATAATAATAATAAAAGATATTTAGATTTAAATGAGACTTTCCAATATTTTTTAAATCCCTGACAATGCTTCCTTGCGTTTAGGATTGAGAGAAATGATTTTCATTACTTCCAGCGTTCAGAGATTTAATGTTTTTACCTTAGCTCCAGCCTATGCTTGCAAAGTGCAGAGGGACTCCATGTCCTCCAGTGATTGACACCATGGTCTGTCTGGGGCTAGGCTGTCCCCACTAACCACCATTGCACCTGCAGGGGCAGTGTGGAAGGGGTACAGTTTGCATCTCATTAGCATGCACACCACTCTTGGCAATGCACCAAAGTTGCATTGCCATGAGTATGTAAAATAAAAGTCTTCACTCTGAAATGCATAATAATTATATCTTTTTAAAAGAATAATGCCTCCTATAGTCAACCATTGATTTTTCTGGAGTTTAATTACATCATCGCCATGTATTCTTATCAGCCTATAGAGGCAAAAAGCAAACTACACTTAAACCCAGTGACATATATAGTTTTTAAATCTACAATTTTCTTCTCTCTCTCTCCTTGTTTAATATATAAGCCCTAATTTCTGTGTATGTGAGTAAAACTGCAGCCTGAGTCATTTAGGAAGTAAGCATTGAGTTTTTTTAATTATAAATATACTAGATTAAAACAGCACTCCCTAACAATTAAAAAAAAAGAGTTTTATATTACTTTAGAATGTAATAGGTTTTGTCCTTATTTTATGTCCTGTAAATTATTAGTTGAAAACTGTTAGCATTCCCAGATAATGCACACATGATTTCTGAATGTTTTCTGTAAATGACAATCAATGTTTATGAAGTTCCCTCCTTTAATGCTGAACAAAATTAAAAGAAGAAAAAGAAAAAAAAATCTTGCCTAGTGGTTTTCTTAACTCCCAGAGAACAAAAAGGGGCTGAAAATAATAGTTGGATTTACCTTTATAAACTTGGTCTTGCCTTTATAAGCATAGATTCTTACCTGCGATGATTCTTTTTTCAGTAAATGATTTGTCATTTATTTTCTGAAAATTCTTTAGTCCTCATGGACCTGGCCTGAGTCAAAGTGTTCATTGAGAAAAGATCCAGACTTCATTCTAGCCATATACCTTAACCAGTTGCAATTAAAATGAAAGCACCATCTTTCAGAGATAATAAATATCCTCATCTCAACACTGTCATAAAAGGAAGTCCCAGCTATGGGAGCCCTAAGCAATTCCCCTGTAAACACTTTGCTGAAAGAAGCTGCAATGGGTTCCAAACGAATATGACGATCCCAACATTTGACGAAAGCTTTCAGGCAATAATTATGCATCAGGTCTCTGGATCTTTTTGTAATAAAGCACCACTGAAATCAATGCCACCTGCATGAATCTTATTTGGAGCCATCCTGCAGTGGGTAACAACTGAAGATAATCACAACCTCCCCATGATGTTGAAGAAAGCAGTTCTAAAAGAGGCCAGCAGTTTCTCAGGGGCTTGGAAGTTTCTGCAAGTTGGGGTCCCCGGAGTCAACATGCTCCAAGAACAGTAGCTTAAAGCAAGGTTTAACAAATTTGAAAAGTGGAAGCCCTGGCTCAAACAGCAGGATGAACCTGTAGAAGCCCACAGAAAGTTTCTTCCAACTCGGCTTTGGAGCTAGCAGAAACCCTTGTGGGATGTTTCAAGCACCATCTTTACTCTAAACATCCAGGTCCCACATGGCTCTGCTCAGAGGACACAGAAACAGGACTGCCCTGATGTTTCTGTGACAGTAGCATTTATGTCCTTGGGTTTCTGATCAGGTCTTTCAGTAACTAGTCAGCTGGCAAACAAATTATCAGAGCCTATCCTAGATTCCTATCAATTGTCACCAATGACTAATTACAGAACTCTTCACTCTAAAGTCGTGTAAAATTTTTCAGAAACCTAGATCCAGAAAGCAGTGAGATACAAAATGAAACTTACCAGTTTGAAACTCAGCTCGTACCATACACTATCACAATTACTAACCTTTGACAGAATCACCAAAAATTATGAATTAACCCCTTTGGATGGACAAAGTTTGGGTCTAGTCATAGATTCTTTTCTTTAAGGACAAGAACTGGAACTGTGTTCCCATAATCACACCATTGATGATGCACTGGTGTGTGTAAGCCATGTCAGGTACCAAAGAAATGCCCAGGGTTGGCCCCTTCTCCTACACGGCAATAAATAGCTCCTTGACCCAATTGGAAAAGAGCAACAAGTGAAGCAAAACTCTTTCGTGCCATCCTTACAGGTAGAGTCTCCAAATACAAAGCGACTGTGCTATAAAAATTTTCTCTCCTTGTTTTCTGGATTTGAACTTGATAAGTTTAACTGATTGAATAAATGTTATTCTAAAAGACTATGCAATTCTTGACAGCTAGATCTCATAGACCTTTAAGCCAAACGAGGTCTTGGCATTAGCATAAGCCTTCGATGAGCTACATGTGTTGGGGTCTTTTTCTAATTTTAGTTGCCCAACTATCTATTTGCTGTCATTTCACTGGTTTCACCCTTGATCAAATCATCCTGCAGCACAGGCACAATTCACAGACATGCTTGTCACCATAAGCCATGAGTAAAGAGGGTAGATATTTAGTGATGAGCAGGGAAAGAATGCTCTTTCCCTTCCCTTCTCCAGCAATTTAGCCCCGAGCAGTAAGACAAGGAGACTGAGTAGCTGGGAGAGGAGATATTATACAAATCTTCTCAAAGTTTCACAGAAGACTCAGCTGCCAGGAAATAAAGCAGGGAGATCAGAGAGCCCAACGTGTAAAAACAAACATAACATAAAAGTGTGGTCTCAGCAGGTCCCTTTCAGACCCTCCAGTGAGGTTTGACCAAATCATTAAAACTCATTCAAAAAGAAAGAATTTGGAGAATTGGTTACCTCATAAACTGTACTGTTGCATAAGTAAGAAATCTTAAGAGAAGGTCCTATTTTTTTTTTTTAAGAGATGGAAACCATTAGGGTTGTAGCCATGTGTTTCTGTTGCAGCAGTCAAAAGAGTGGGTCAAATGTGATCTTAAATGTCATCTTAGTCACTAGATGATTTGAATATGGTTAGGATATGAGGGGAACAAGAATGAACTTGCAGGATTACATGGCAGATTTACATGCACAAGGCCTACCCACATTTCACCAATCAGAATTAATCAGATGGCACCACATATCAGTAAAAGTGGTTGAGAGGGACTGGGGATATAGCTCAGTTGGTAGAGTGCTTGCCTCACATGAACAAGGCCCTGTGTTCACTCCCCAGAATCACAAAAAAAAAAAAAGAGTGGTTGAGAAATGTAGTCTAGCTGTGTGCCCACAGGGAAGAGAAAACACGGTGTGGGGACTAGTTAACAGACCTGTTCCAAATATAAAAGAAATTCTAAAAATGTCTCTAATCCTATTTCATCAGATATTTCAATAAACTTCTATTCGATTTATTTATTTAACAAATATTTCATTAATCCACTACTATGTGCTAGTCACCAAGACTACAGTGTTAACACAGGACAGGTATAGATTCTGTCTATGGAAACTATTCTCTAGACATTAAAATAGAATGCTAAGAATAGAATTCAAAAAAGGTGTGTAAAAAATTAGATGGCAAAGGCATCACAAATAATCACAAATCTAATAATAATTTTCACCAAAAAATCATAGAAGTCCTTATATATTGTCACTTATTCTCTATTTTACTCTACTTCTAGGGATCCAGTGTGACATGAATTACATGTCATGTTTTGGTTATTGCCTCCATTTTATCTACCAGGTGAACTGCCATCCCACACCCTATAGGACATACAAAGTCTTTAATCAACCAAGCATGGAATAACAGATGTGGATACTCAGGCAGCTTCTTGACTGACATTTGACAGGTTAATAGTTTTTGAGAAAAGCCAAGTACACTGCTGTTGGCTGCAGCCCACCTTTGTCCGGCTCACCATGTAAACCCCTTCCTCCTGCCTCAGGGTACAGAGATCCTCCCGACTTGCTGCCAACCAACACACACTTCTATTTATAAGGTTCCAATAAATTGCACTTTGGGAAATCCTGGGTGTCTTTGCTTTTCCCTCAGTGTCACAACCCCTTTCATCTTTGGCATCCTGTTCTCATACACCAGAATGGGGGATTTCTGAAACCCTCCTCTTGAACTCATTTTCACCCTTCATAATCAATTTGGATGGTTTTTTTTTTTAACGATGTTGATTGTTCAATGAAGTTCTTAAAAGAAAGACAAAATCTTCCTTCTCATATCTTTTACCTCCTCTTAGAGCTAGATCTGGTCATTGAGATCACACAGAGCAAGAGCATACCTAGACCTATCTTTGTGATGACAATACCTACAATAAGGGGCTAGGGATGTAGCCCAGTGGTAGAGTGCTTGTGTACCATGTGTGAGGCACTGAGTTCCATCCTCAGCACCTCAAATAAATAAGTAAGTAAGTAAGTAAATAAATAAATAAATAAATGTATTGTGTCCATCTACAACTAAAAAAAAAATTTTAAATAAGTCAATAAAATAGATACGTCTTTCAGTCCTCACTCCCACTTGACTTTTTGCACACCAAAAAATTTTCGGTTATCCCAAATGTCTCTACAATTTAATTTTCTCATAAATCTGTTTATTTGGAAATCATTAGAACAACCAGTAATACATATCAGTGACACACGCACCATCAGTGAGGGATCCTATCTATGTCAACACTGTCGGTCATATGTGCATGGAGAACATGACTTTTGTAGGCTTTTGTGTCTAAAAATGTAGGTTTTGTTACTATTCAGGTATGGTGAGGTCAAGATACCAGAAGACACTTACCAATGAAAAGATAGTTTGTGACTCACAGTTCCTGAGAGGGCATGCCACATCTCCCAGGGCCACGGAAGTACCACTGGGGCCAGTCAGGACGCAGAAGGGACAAGAGGAACTATTCCTTCAACAGAAAGGAACAGGAGAGGCATGGTATGCAGGTTAAGGATTAGCCAATTTGGATTACTTTAGTCATCTCTGGAAATAGGGGCTGGTTTTAGTTTATCTAGTACCCAACCCTTAAGTGGTTGGGCCAGAGGAGATAGTCAGGGTTTGGCTCTGGATTGATTGTTTTGCATAT